GGTAACATCGACAAGGACCGCCTTCCATGACCCTCCGCCAGTTGACTCGTAGGAGGTTCTTCTGGGTTCATTTACGACATCCTCAACATTGCGCTTTTGGTGGTTTAAAGCTTGAACACCGTTTGCTTTTGGGAAGACTACACCGGATGGTTTACGCGTGAAGCCACTCACCCACGCCCCGCAGGAGGACCTGAACTGCGTAGATGCCGGGCCGGCCAAGATGGAACCGCTTTAAAGGGGCAGCGCCTGTCTGGATCCGTACTCCGTGCAGATTGAATGACATGGGGTCTCCGTAAAAGAGGTACTTTACGGTACCCCGAAAATTGATGGTGGTTTGGGTTCCATATTATGATGCAAGAGTGTAACAGTTGAGTTGGCTTCGATGCAAGGAGCGCTGAGAAACACTGCCAGGACAGTTGGGAAACATGTTCTCGTGTCTTTAACCCTCCCCAGAAAAGAGCATATGATGCTACTCGTAACTGATTTTGACCCCCAGTATTCTTTCTCACGTCTGCGTAATGTGTGTAATTTTCCCAGCCTGTTTTGCCGTGCTTTGTCCGGAATTGTTCAAGCTCCGGTTAGAAGTGGATCAGCTGGCAGGTTGCCATGTCTGAAATCGCGACCTACTGAGTACCGAGGGTTTGCGATGAAGGCTCCTTTCTGGGGGCCCTGATCAAGAACGCCAGTTCGTTGTTCGGGTCCTGGAAGAAAGGAATACCCACTGAGTCAAGAAAAAGGCCCTGGACTCACCCTGTGAGGTCCGAGATGCGGTGACCGGGGAGGGCGTGCCCCTTGCGGAGTGCGCCGGCATCTACGTGCACCGCGTGGATTTCTTCCAGGCGCATTGGTCAGAACCGGAGAAGCCAGGTTTCTGCGGCGACCTCTGAGGATGTTGTTGAGAGGGAAATTCCAGAAAAGTCCCTGGGATTCGTGGTCTCCCTTTATGGCTAAAAAATATTTCAGGACTAAAGGGAAACTATTCCCTCAACTCGCCACAACAAAGGAGAGGTCCAGGGCGAGGGGCCGCTGGACCCGGTCCCTTGTGGTGAGCTGTGGTGCCTGTTGCCACCCAGGGGAGCTGCCAATCCTGCAGCGGGTCTTTGGCTTTTGCTTGGTCGATGCAAGCACTCGAGATGGATGTTCTTGTTTTTTTAGAGGATTCACTTTTTGCCTGGTTTCATGCGGAACCGAAGGGACGCCATTGAATTTGGTGGGTTCCCTTTTCTTGATCCAATCCAGGTCTTGTTTTCTCCTTTTTTTCTTGAAGGACTTTCACTGGCACTGCTTTGTTAGCCCCTCAGGCGATCACTGACTCGGAGTACTTTATCAAGGCCACAGAGGCTGGTGACTGTTCGAGCGAGCTGCATATTGGTCTAATTCTGCGCCGAGCATCAAACTATTCACCAGACTCCCTCGCCATCTTCTCCATTTCCAAAGAACGGATCTCGTTTGCTTTGTTGGCGCAAACAATTGAAGCACGACTTTCGCTGGCACCTGGGCGTGCCAGCGTAGAGCTGGCTGTGTAGAAGATCCGTAAAAATGTGGCTGCTGCCCCGCAGCCCAATCGGCCTTCCCTTCTCAGCACATTCGGTAAACAACAAGAAGCAGAGAGAATGCCACACAATTGTTTCTAGAAGTTTGGCATGCCTCAAAGAAGAGACCCGCACTTTTCGTTTCGGGCCCCGCACGTATGGATGCATGTGTGTGTTTTTCAGGGTAACCCTTGTTTAGGTTGGTTTAAAGGGTACACCCCCTACTTTGACCAATACGAGGTGGAGAAATAAGAGGACCACCCTTTGTCGAGGCACGAGCGAGCATCGTTGGCATTTCCAGGGCCTAGCCCATACCCGACCCTGTATTGGGGTCATCAAAAAGTGATTTTCTTAAAGATTACCCCACCAAAGGCTTTGCTTGACCCAGCTTTGCACTGTCAGGTTTAGCCCCACAAATTCACTGGGGCACCCCTCTGCTTCTTGCTCTGCGCCATACCTTGGTCGTGACTGTAAGCTAGGACGTGCTCTTTGGTACATGCCCCTTTCTCACACTGGCTCCCTGGCGGCGGAACCAGGCCTGCGAGCTGAAGCGGTCCATGAAGATCGTGGAGGACGGGATTTCTTGGGACGCCCAAGTCCGCCAAATTTGAAGCTCGAAGGGCAAAGGACCGTTGTGTTGTCTCCGGGTTCACAGCTCCAGTTGGTTCTTTTTTTGGTGGGGGTTCGAAACCGGGTTCGCAAAACGAGGGGTCGACCGTTTGGACCAAAGGCTTCGGTGGTCCATTTGGATCATTCCGTGCCTTGAAAGGCCCTAGGCCTGGAGTTTGAATCGAATGCTTGGGGAGACGAACCATGTATATGATGTCCGCCAAAGGGCCTCCCAATCGAAGAAACACATGCCCAATTGTGAACAACGCAATTCAGCACCTGTGTTCTTTCCTGAGCTGCAAGTCGCTTGCCTCTTGAAGAGCACACCCCTCTTTCAAAGTGAGAGCTCACCTTGCAACGCGGCACAGTTTGACCATGAACCGAAAACCTAACCTGAAGCATGTCAAGCTATCCACTTTGCTGTCACTTGGTCTGATGTTCCATCAGAGGATGAAGCAGCCTCAGCTGAATCTGTGTTTGAGTGTACGCGTCTGCATTGAACGGATCAGCGTTCCCCTTGGCGCAGTGTTGGTCGAACCGATGAAATAGGTCTTCACCGATCAAAAGCGCTGCACTATGGCGGAAGTGAGCTTCTGCATTTTCCTACGGTCTTTCTGATCTCAAAGACATGTTGATTGACATAGATTTGTTTGTGTGAATCAATACTGTCATGCATGCGAAACAACCACTCCTGTCGCATTCAAGGGGATGGGCTTCAGCCAAAATGAAGTGCAACGATCTGAGAGATATCAGTGTGTCTTTTTGAAAATTTCCGTTTCGAACGGACAACACCCATATTGCACTTATTTGGAGCCAAGGCCACAGCAATGAGAGTGAGCTATTCTGTGCGACTTGGTCAGTCCTTTCTCTAGGGCCTCAAGGTGGGTGCTTTCCCTTGGGCTTCCTGTAGCCATCCGAAAAGAAGCTTCCTCTTCTCAGACCAAAACCGTCCAGCGACTGAGATTGTTCTTCAGGATCGGCGTGCGGAAGGCGTGGCAAAAGCCCTCTCGGGCCAGGACAGACGCACTTTTTTGCTTTTGGGTTTGCTTCGTTTCCCTCAGCAAACATGTCCTTTTAGTTTGCCTGCATTTTGGCCAAGCTGGTATGGCCGTTTGGGGGGTGAGTTTGCTGGAAACTCCTTATTTTGCCCATGGTCGGCCAGGACCCACTCCACCCGCCCGCCCACCCACCCACCCACCCACCCACCCACCAGCCAGCCAGCCAGCCAGCCAGCCAGCCAGCCAGCCAGCCAGCCAGCCAGCCAGCTAAGCCAGCCAGCTAGCAAAGCCAGCAAAGCCAGCAAAGCCAGCAAAGCCAGCAAAGCCAGCAAAGCCAGCAAAGCCAGCCAAGCCAGCCAGCCAACCAACCAAGCGACCAAGCAACCAATCCAAAACCAACCAATACTAACCAATGCCAACCAATACCAGCCAATACCAGCCAATACCAACCAATACCAACCAACACCAACCAACGCTAAGCAACACGAACCAACATCAACATCAACATCATCATCAACCAACCAACCAGCCAGCCAGCCAGCCAGCCAGCCAGCCAGCAAGACAGCCAGCCAACCAACCAACCGACCAACCGAGCGAATCACTCGTGTGCAAACGCAAGCAAGCTTCTTTGTGCTGAATGCCCACAACACCCCGATCGGTGTGCATTTTTGCATCCTTATGAGCACAAGGGTTGGACGGCTCAAAGCCGACTGGTGATGCATCTTGGCTCCGTCCGACGGGCTTTGCACAGAGGGATTGGTGGGGACGGCAGGTCTCCCAGCCCCGGCTTGGGCAGCAAAGGGATTTGGATTGGTATTCGCAAAAATAAGCACTCGGTCGCTGCCTTTGATTTCCCTGCGGTCAAAACAACCCCAAACGGCTGATACTCTCCAAGAAGTGGCTGGTTTTCCTTTGGTTTCCTTTAGATCTCCAGCCAAGACCAGATACCCTCCAAAGCGAAGGAGCTGTTCCGCTTCGAAACTTTTCAAGCCACTGTGGCTTGCCTTAAAAGACAAACAAGCAGCCCCAAAGCTTTGGCTTCCCTCGGAAATAAACAAAACAAGCCTTTGGCTTCCCTCAAGAGATGTTTTTATGAGAAACGAAACCACAAAAAACAAACACAAGAAGAACACAATGCAGCCACTGTGGGAGTTTAAGCACCAGTCTTGAGAGTTGCTTCTTTCCAGGAGCTGAAGCAGGCGGCGGCAGAGGCCCAAGCGATGGCGCCCAAGGCGTGGTCCTCCCTTTCTGGGAGTGGGGGGGGGGAGAGGCATCAAATGGGTTCCGAGTTTTTTTTTTTTGGGGGGGGGTGTTTCTTTTTCTTCTTTTTTTTTTTCTGAAAAGTTTTGGGCTCGCCATATAGTAGGCGGATAGGATGCGAGTTGTTCGCTTGTAGGAGTGGCTCTACCGGAACGTCATCCCCGCGCTCCTGCCAGCTCTGGAGGCGACTTCGAGTTGCGATCCTCTTTTGAAATCGTCACCCTGGTTGACAGCATGTTGGCAACACTGTCCCCAAACGAATTGCGCAGAAGTTTGGTTGGACCTTGCAGACGTGTGTGGATTGGCCCACTCGGCAAAAGGTAGTTGAAGCTTCTGTGCTGGGGTCAAGAGTCACCCAGAAATGTGTTCCCGAGTTTCATGCGGACATTCTCAATTCACTTTGTGATTGCGAGAGGTTTCGTACTTTCGGGTGTCTCCACTTGCGCTGGTTGCAGGCCTGCCAGCGCGATCGGCCCGAAGATCCCATCGAGCCACAGCCTGAGCAATTGCAATCCAGGCGTTGCCTCTGACGGAAATTCCCTTCAAGAGGGCAAGGATCTCTCACCGTGATGAAGCTGTTGTTGCCTAGTTGAGGATTCCTGATTTCCAGCTGTGATGTTTGGGTCGCCCTTTAGCAGTACGGAACATTGCCTGAACCAGTTTTGGACCGCCAAGCAACCGGTAGTGGTGGATAGTGGCTCCTTTGGATTGAGGGAGTGAGCATCTCCAAGAGGTAGCATACGCATTGCCAATGAGAATGGCGATTGGGAGGTCAGCCTTACAAGGATGCTTTGAGTGATACCCTGACCTTCTTGAGCCCTCATTTCAGGACGGCAATGTGCAGGCTTGCTCGTTGCTCGTGACAGCGAGCTGATTGCGAGCTTTGGAAAGATTGTCTAGTGGTATCACAGAAGCAGAGTCTAAGTTTTTGAGCTAGTGTTAACTTATTTTGGCTAAAGGGGAGGGAGCTTTAAGGGCGGAGATCAGAGTTTCAGGCTGCACATGCTCGAAATTTAGGCCAGGGCAATCGCACCGCCAGAGGTTCGATGGACTTTTTGCGGTGAGATGCCCTTCCACAGTATGAGCGCATTTGGGCATACCGTATTTCGGTGTTTCCATCATGGGCGAGAACACATATTTCTGCTTTGGGGCTTCCTGAGGTAGCCATGGTTGACTTTTTCTTGGTTTCCCCTTTCCCGTCCAGTCCCCTCTGATGTTTTGCGTCTTACCTGCCTTCGACATCTTGTGCTTGGAATCTCCGGTACTGTTCGACCGAAGGTTTCCAACCAGGGAAGGAGGGGACCAAACAACTCTGTTTTTTTTGCTTGGCTTGTGATTGGCTTGCTTTCACAAAGGGAATCTTCGGGAATCTTCCCTGGTCATCACGCCAATTGTTTTCCTTGCAAATCTTTGTATGTCACAGGAATTTCGTTTGCCTCCCGACCCCGAGGTTCATAGCTTTCTACATGCTGCGGCACTCAAAGCAGCGCCTCTCTCTGAACCGCTTCCTGGGCGGGCAGTCACGGATGCAGTACTTGCTTGTTTCCAAGCTTTGGGAGTGCGTGTTTTTCAACGGAAGCAACCTTCAGGGAACATTTTGGATGCCCCAACAGAGTGCGAACAGACTGCAACAGTTGGTTGGAAAAGCACAATGAGCAATCATGAGCCATTCGTGAGCGGTACTCAATATACAATGTAGATCCAGTGCATCGAGGGAACGCAAACACAGACACACACGCACACATGCGCTGAAAGCACTTTGTGGTGTGGGTTTGCACCATTTGAGCTTGCTTCCACTTGATGACTCTTTTTTAACACAGAAAGTATCATCCGCTCGGCATTTGTGCACACTGAGAGGCACGTGCTGGACCATGTAGACTCACCGGTTTGCCTTTGAGTCTTCCAAATGGGTACCCTCCAAAAACGACGCCGAAATTTAGGTTGTTGTCTCTCACTCCTTCGGCTGATGCCGCCAAACACGCCGGAACTCCAATTGTTCCAAACCGAGGACAAAACTGGAAATTCAAAGGGCAGGCTGCAAATGGTCGGTTTTTGCTTGATTTCATCTTGGTTTCTCTTTGGTTCATCCATCCATCCATCCATCCATCCATCCATCCATCCATCCATCCATCCATCCATCCATCCATCCATCCATCCATCCATCCATCCATCCATCCATCCATCCATCCATCCAATCAGCTTTGGTTTCCTACAACTTGAGACTGATTTCCGCGAGTGCGCCAAGGTACTCCAAAACTCTGAAGGCGTAGCGCGGCGTGCGCTGCCGTGCCGCATGCACATTTCGTCTCACCCTGAGTTCTGGCCGTAGCAGCATTCTACGTGCCGAAGCCACGAGGAAGGCACCTTAGGGTTTCAATTTCATTCAAGTTGGTGAAATATAGGAGTTTGGCTCAATAGGAAATCCCTGTTGCATGGGTTAAAAGGGAAACCACAAGGAAACTAACCACGCGGTCGTTGAATTATAACACTCAGATTTTGTAACGGTTCCGCAAGAAGTCAGACGGATGCTGCCATATTGTTTAGACCTGCATTACCAACATTGGAGCGGGTCCAATGCTTGCAGCGCTCATGTGATCTTTGTTCTTGTGCTTGAAATGATTGAATTGTTCATGGCAACTAATTCAAGCCTTGCAAAGGCTCCACTTTGCTAGAACTTCGGGAGTTCGTGTACATGGACTGCAGAAGATCTGCAGCGTTTCATCGCCCGGCTGTCCGATGCTGAATGCGTCAGCATGCCACCTTTTGTAACCGTCAAATTCAAATCGCCCCGGCCAAACGGAGACTTTCGTGTGGGTTCTGTTTGGTTTTCAAGACAAGCATGACCACTGCGCGGGCGAAGCCGCCTTTTTCAGCTCGGCTTGTGGGTTTCAGCGAAGGACTTCAGGGAGGGCTGGAGATTCGGAACACCTGGCCTCCCCCTCAGAGCTTTGGTGACTCTTGAGTTGTATGCTTAGCCCCCGCAACTCCCAGCCAATGTGGGCGAACCTGAACAGGTTTCCACTGGGGGGGCATATTTACACCGTAGATGGCGGATGAATAGTGTCCATGTAATCCCTTAAAACCTGGCGGTTCTGGAGGTTTGGGGTCGGACGTATCTCAGATATCAGCAACGGCCGGCCAATGTCATGTGCCGATGGCACGTAGCCGAGCCAACGGAATCTGCTGTGCATGCAAAAGGCGGCTTATATCTCGACATCCCACTAGGCTAACTCTGAGCCAGACTGACTTTGAGAATGCCAGGCAGTCCAAGTTGGTTTGGTCCTGGCCCCCCCCAACAAAAAGGAAACATGTGCGCCACCCCAGAGGATCCATGTCCTTTTTGACCCGTGGACCTTTGTCCCTCTCCACGGCGGTTTCTCCTCTGCTGTACAAGGCTAAGGATGGGGAGATGGTCGTTTTCCCCATACTTTGTTTTCGGATGGACAGGCAGCCGGTTTGGGGAGATATTTCTGCCCTGAATCTGCGCTGACCTGCCTTTCCTGACGGTTCTGGGTCCGACAGCAGGGATGGTTTAAGCATCATTATGTTGCTGTCTTTTTATGATGGCACCCTCTTTTGTGTTTTTTTAAAGGGACACCAAAAGGACTTACATTATTTTAGGGGTCCCTTACAAAAACAGCAGCTGTCTTTTTGCGGGATGATTTGTGTAGGTTGGATCAGTTGGACGCCAGCTTTAGCTACCCATGGATGGATCGATGGTTTTTGTCCGGGCAAGACTGGGCCTGTGATAATGTCAGAGACGGAGAGGGGTTCTAAAGCCGGGGGACCGCAAGATGGGCTTCGGTTTCCCTCTGTTTCCCTTGAAAACAGCCCCAAAAGGGTACTGAGCTCCCAAAAGGAAATTCGACACCAACCGTCGACCCTTTTAGCGATCCTTTGAACAGCGGCACGCGTGACACAAGTCCAAAAGGGCTACTTGTTTGCGACTCCCGCATTGCTCGATGCAATCTGATCTGGGTAAAGCCGATTGTGCAAGCCCTGACAGGATGAGGCCTGTGTTTGCAAGGCTTTCGCCACCTGTTGCCGAACTGTTGGATTTTCAAGTTCGGGACTTTCGCTAGGGAATCGTCCAGAAGCACTATTTGTTGAGAAGATGCCCAACATGCTCATGCTCCCGCCTTCTGTAGACTCACTTCGACTGTCTACACCTGGACAAGTGCAATCACTGAACCAAGTGCTGGAAAGGCAAGCACATTCTCACAAGCGTGAGCTCCAAACAGAAGGTAGCCAGACAAACACAAGACACCCAGAGAAGCTTTGCATCATCACTGGTGGCCAGCAAGTCTTGGCCGTATCTTTGGGCAAGCATTTTGGCATCCTCAAATTACTGGATGCCAAAAGAAACTGAGGGCTCCAATCCTTAGGAGGGCCTGTTTTCCTTTTGCCCTCGCTTCTTTGTGGACAGTAGGAAAAACTGAGCTGCTGGCTTGGAAAATCGAGGTGCCCATTCCCATCCGAAAGTGGTCACCCTTGCCCCTAAGAGGCGCAGCTGCGAACGGGGATCTTGATGTTTCTAAACACCATCTTCTGGAAAGGCATGTTTTCGCTGTGATGCTTGAGGACAGATACAGGGACTAGGGCATATTCAGTTTATATATGGTGCGCTTCCTTTGTCGGGCAACCAAACCTGAAGTAGTTGAAACAGGGCATTTCAGCATGTATTGGTTTCTGGTGGAAGCCCGTACCTTAGAATCCCCGATTTTGACCATTCCCCGGGTCCCGTCCAGAGCGTGTCTCCAGTCAGGCGCTCCCCCCGGTGCCGCCCACGGCCATGTGGTTCGCCTCCAAAGCCGAGGAACTGGAGAGGCGGGGCGTGACTCGGGAAGCCTCACGGCTCATCCAAGTGAGCCTTTTCGTTTTGGGATGGGGGGGGGTGGTCGGGTGGGCGGTTCTCAAAATCGTCTGGGGGAGGAGTTCCTTTTCGATGTTTCGAGTGCCACTCCTCTGGGTCTTTGGGCGACAACCTGCATTTCTCAATGTCCTTTTTGGGGCGATTTCCTCCGCTTGTTGAAAGGCGAGTGATTGTAAATCACGGAGCTCATGGACGTGTTCGGCGCCCAAAGCGAGCGCTGAGAGGCTCTTTTCAGTTTCGTTCTTTGTACGAAGAAGCGATTCATTGGAAGCGGCTGCGACAAGGGGGGCCTGCCTGCTGTCACCAGTCCACCCCTGCACATCAGCGAAGACGAAATGACTTTGCCACTTCCGTACATATCTTGTGGCTTCCTCAAATCGACAAGAGGATCTAGGAAGTTTTTCCATTTCTTTATCATCCGACAAAATGACATTGGGGGTTGTCGGGTCTCTTCATGAAAGAAGGTCCACTCGAGCAAATTCTCGAAACTTTCTGCATCAACACGCATTTCTTTCGACAGAAACAACAGCATGCAAGCGCGTTCACAGGCAAACCAAGCACCCCAAGAAGCAAATAAATAAGCAAAACAACGCACAACAACCAGACAGGACAAACATCCAGGAGGCGCGGCACGCCTCCAGAATGAGAGGAGCTGGGCAAATCTAGCAACACAAAAGTGGGCAGTTACAACCTCGTAGTGGCTTCAACCCAGGGAATGATTCCCAAAAAGGGCTTCCCAGTTCAGGTCGCAGTCAAAAACATGGAACCCTGGATGCTCGGTTCACTTTCTCACAGCGTCGGTGAACAAAAAAATGCCGCTTGAAGGGTCACGGGCTACCGGGGCATCCGGCGCTCGACTTTTTGCCGCCAGGCGCCGAAGTCTGAGCGGGGAGCGCAAGGCGGCAACCACATGTCTTGGTGGGTTGCCTTCCTTTTTTCGCGGTTGAAGCCATTTGTTGGTGATCTGTTTGTTTTTTGGTCAAGACCGGTTCTCCACGGTCTCTCCGGATTTTAGCCTGTTGGCACTTGCTGGAAGCTTGACGTGTTTTGAGCCGATGAATCTGGGTGTTCACTTGACAGTGTCAAGCATGTTTTAGTTGCCACCTCTTGGATTTGGATGCATGGACTTTTAGTGAAGCTCATTCTGTTTGAGACATGAAGGGCTTGACTCCAGATTCAAGCGTGCATTCTTCCACATGTTTTTCGCCGGTTGTTGACCTCAATATTTTCCTTACCATGTTGTAAGGTCGTGGCAATGCTAGCCCTTGGCCGATTGAGGGGGACGGGAAGGTGATCCCAACTATATGAGGTTCGGTCAGGATTTCCAGCAAACACTGAGTTGAACCCATGTTTGCGAGATACGCGCCATGGTCAAACGACCTGCTTGCTTGGGGTTGGTATGGATGGTCACAGAGCCTTTGGTAGGGATTCTGGACAACCATCGCGGCGCATGACCATGGGCCCTCATGAGTTTTAACTGTGGCTCATATGTCCACGTCGTTTCTCATTTCCAAGCTGACACGTTGATGACTGTAGCAATCGATTTGTCTGTGTAAATCGCTACGACCATGGTAACAAGACCCTCGGCGGCCTTACTGCATTGTCGTATTCAAGGGGGTGAGCTTCTGGTGAATTGATATAATATATATATATATATGTAATTTATCAGGGGGGTCCCTGCCCGCTTCCGGCAAGCTAAAGTGGACGACGCCACCAGCATCACCAGAGTTTTAAGCCAAAAGACTCACATTCACTGGAGCCTGGAACAGGCGGGTTGATCTACCGGGCCAGAAGTGGACGAAAGTCCCTGGAAAGAACAAAAGCAGAAACTTGCCTCGACTGCAGAAGCCAACCAGAGCAGGAGATGAAGGCCTAAACAAAGGCTACAATGGTGACAGCCGCGAACAGGGCAGGAAGGGAAGGAAGATGACCCAGAGCGTGTATATATATATATATACATATGCGTATGTGTGCTTTTTGAGTGCCCCTTTTCAGGTTTCCGACCATGTTAGGCACTTTGACACATACCCTGTACAGATCTTTCTGAAACCCCGGTGATATCCGTTCTCATCGCCAGCCCTGGGACGGCTTTGGCTATGCCGCTGTGTGGCCGCCCCCGCCACTGCCGCCGGTGTCGGAGGCGCTGACAAAATCATGGGCTGGTTGGTTGTTTTCCAGTGGGACGTGTGACGTAATGGTAGACATATATACATATACATATACGTATACGTATACGTATACGTATACATATACATATACATACACATACACATGCACACACATACATACATATATACATATACATATACATATACATATACATATACATATACATATACACATACACATACACATACATATACATATACATATACATATACATATACATATACATAT